AGAAAACCAAATAAACAAAAAACAAATGTGATCTTACCGTGCCTGCCTTGCTTCCTTTTGTATTTAAGGCACAACAAAAAATGTATAGTTATCTGTATATCTTGACCTGTATCTTGCTTTGAGATGCATCCAAATCATAGCAATAACGTGATAAAGTAGATGTACCAAACTGTTCCTGGAATAATTCAAGTGGTTCACGCTACAATTTTTCTGCTATAAAAGGATAAAGGTGGCAGGTACCACACATAGTTGAGCCAGCCTTTACTTTCCAGGAGTAATACAGAGCTGGTGCTAGACGGGGCGGCTATGGGGTCTGGAGGTACTCAGCCCTGGTCATGTTATTCAACTCCACACCTTCCAACCTGGCCTCAGATGACAGGTTGGTGGTAGTAACAAGGTCTTTGGAGCCCCCTTCCACTCCCCCCCCCCACACAAATTGTCCAGGGTTAACAAGCACAGAAAGATGGAGCAGAGAATACTGATCAATGGTCCTTGAATATTTCTGGAAAGGACATGTTGTAGTTTAGAAGTGAAATGTTCCCTACAGGTTCATGTGTTGAACACTTATTCCCCAACGGGTACGCTGCCTGTAGAGGTTAGAGGACCTTTAGATGGGGGCAGGGGCTCGCTGGGTAGATGACTGAGCCGGTAGGTGCTGAGCTTTTACAGCACCGACCTGTCTTATCTCTGCTTCCTGAAGGCAGCCTTAAGGTAGCCAGTAGACACCCACTCCCACCACCAAGCAGCCTCTCAGCACCATGTCTTCTCTACCAGGATGGACCACATCTCCTCAAACCTCGAGGCAGAATAAACCCTTCCTTTGTGAAGTGTCTTGTCAGACATCTGGTCACAACAATGAGAAAGTGATAGAAATGCAGAGAATGTGCACCCACTATCTCAGAAAGGAAATGGGTGTGGCTTAAGCAAAAGCAGCTGGCTAAAGGCTACCAGTGTCTTGCTCTGTGCTTTGGTCTTTATCCCTCCAAGTACAATCCTTTAGTTTCTTGCTCTTTGCATTTTTTATTTTTTATTTTTTAGTTTTTTTGGTTTGTGTAGAGGGCTTTGGAGACAAACACTGGGGCCTTATCCATATAAGCCCACCCACCATAGGAGGTTTTTTTGTTTTTTGGTTGTTTTTGTTTTGTTGTTTTTTGAGACTGGGTTTCTCTGTGTAGCCCTGGCTGTCCTGGAACACACTCTATAGACCAGGCTGGCCTCAAACTCAGAAATCCACCTGCCTCTGCCTCCCAAATGCTGGGATTAAAGGTGTGTGCCACCACTGCCCAGCCACCATAGGAGTTCTTAAGCTACCTCTGGCTTTCTGTTGACATAAAGCCTGGGTCAAAAATAACCCAGCAGAGATTTAAATGTTGAAAACAGCAAAGAAAACGATCCCCTGGTATGTTATAATAGCTATTATGTCTTGGACTTGAATTCCAGTAGAGATTTCTTCTGGTCTTATTGGCTTCTTTATGCTACATTGTTTCTTTAATGTTCAGTCATCACAGATAATACTCATGTCTTTGAGGAGATCAGCACCCTCTTGAGAGTCATTGCTTATTTACTGAACATTTAGAACTCAGAGCCCCCATTCATGGTAACAGCAGCCCATCTGGAGAATTCTGCAATAATATGGTATCTTAGTAATGTTAGAGGATAGGCATAGATGAGGAAAAATGGGAGAAAAGAGGAAGTGTGCTTTGTAGGGAGGGGGTCATGACTGAGAACATTCAGTAGCCATCAAGTGTCTCCCATTATATCTCCTGGTGCTGATGTTGTCCTAGCTATCCCTCTACAGGGCACACGGTGGTTTCTTGATGAGCTGTCACATAAGGAACCGATCAAAGCACAAAGGGGACAGTTGATGTCTTTCCATTGGAAGGGAAATGGGCATGGTTTCTATTTTCTTGAAACGGATCAGTTGGAATCCAATGCTTATTAAGTGAGATAATAAACAGCTTCGTATGTTCCAGGAATTTGCATAACAAAGGTTCTTGTCTCCAACTACAACACTTTTGCTCCTCTGAACCCGTGAACACGAGGCTTCAACAGAAGACTGAGCTTCCAGAGACATGGAAGGATGTTAGTCCAATGCTCACAGAGATGAGTCATGTGATGGAATGGAGAGCAGACATGGATAAGGGACAATTGTGACAAAACTGAGGAATAAAGACTCTAGTGAAACTATGGGAAGTGCTGGTTGAATAACACTATCAAGAGTAGAGGTCACTTCTCTCCCTCCCTGCACCTCCCCCACCCCTCCATAACCCTCCATAATCCTCACCGTGTAGTCCAGACTAGGCTGGCCTCAAATTCAGAGATCCACCTGCCTCTGCCTCCCAGGTGTCAGGATTAAAGGCGTGCATGACCCAATGTGGCACACTTTTAAATTCACTTATCACCATTATCCTAATTGATCACTGAATTCCAAATTCTGCCTAAGAGGAGCTCTGAACTTCCCACTTCATTTACCCATTTTTTTTTAAGTGGTGGTTCTCCTCAAGATTTAAGTCATTCCTTGTGGAATTAAAACCCAAAAGACTCCAAGTTAAACAAGTGATAAAACAACAACGACCATAAATTCCAAGACCCTGCCCCATTCCTAATGATGACTAGGGTGTAGATCACAGGACTATGAGGTTTTTGTCTTCCCGGGCTGCACCTGGTACTTTGAGAGTCTTCAGCATCATCTGCTTTCCAAACAGTGGGACAAGGAAGATGGCACTGAACTTGGATCCACACTGCCTGATATTGTGTTAGTTAGCCGACACTTGTGTTTAATTATGCAAGCTCTGCTTGTTTTTAACAAACGAATCCTAAATTCCGTATATTCAGAGAAGCAAGAAAAATGTCTTTGGGTGGGTGGGGGGGAACAAAACAAAAACTCTTCTTTGCTGGAGCTTGTATGTACTGGTTACATTTCCTTTGATCTTTTCCCCTTTCAGATACATTCAGGATATACATTCTTTGTTAATTTGAATAGTCATAGGTCTATTGCAGCTGCCTATGACTATACAAGACCCAGAGAATGATTAGCTTAATTCTCAGATGGTTCTTAGTGGTTTTTTTTTTTTAAGTTTTATGTAAATAAACATCAGAGTGCTTACTCTATCAAGTCCTGTTCCTGGCTTCCACACAGTACTTCCTCTCCCATATCCCAGCCTACTGCCTTTCCCCCACCTTAGTTCATACAGTATGGTTTTCACTCTCTGGTCTCCAACAGTCTGGTTAATCACAGTAAATGTCCACATTACTATTCTCTAGATTGAGCACCATGTCGAGGCATACACTCAGGCTGCTGCTGACAGACAGCTGAGTAAAGGTCTCTATAATCTGAGCTTGACTCCCCAAGCATAGTGCTCACACCATTTCCCCAAGGTAAGGATGTACCTGTCAAGTAGCAGGTGTTCTAAACGCCTTAACTAAGTAAGTCACAAGACTTCACCAGTGACTGTGTGAGCTGGGAACATAGTGTCTTAATTGTGCTTAGCTGCTGCCGATCAATCCAGCTGATCAGCTAAACAGTATCATTTTCCCTTCTGTGTCCTCTGTAATATAGACCATGGAGGTTCAATATAATGGAAACACTGGGAATCAAAGGTATTTTCCACCCCCACATCATTTTGACTGAGTTGTCTGTGAACGAGGCATTTTCGTGGTGCCAACATTTCTATCAGGATGCTAACACTGATAAACTCTCCCAACAGCAGGGAGAGATGGTGAGGCAGGAGATACAAAGCCAACCTGCTTACTTTCTCTACCAGCGTAACCACCAGCAGCAGGAACTGAGGGGTGGGCTGAAACAGGCTGAGAGATACATCTTAATTCAATACTTACAGACTAACCGTGCTAGAACAGGAAGCAGTGACTCAGTGGAGAGAGATCTCTCCCTCTAAGGCTGGCAACGGCAAGCAGGGGTTACCTAATGTGAAGAGTAAGGGCACCTTCCTATAGAGGAGCCCATAGTCAGGTACCCAGGTACATCTTGGTATTGTCCAAGACTCACAAGACAATGGCTGGGTAAGATGGCACCATACCTGCTCAAGGTATCTGGTACTTAATGATGGATAGCTTTGGCACAGGTGATATCTACCAAACCATGTTTAGCAAATGGCTTTCCTGAGCTCAGCACCCAAGACGTGCCGCCTGCTTGACTGGCACAGATCTGTGCTACTAAGCACGGGGCAACCAGGGTCTAGTTACTTTATGCTTAAGAAAGGTGTGGCGGTGGTGGTGCACGCCTTTAATCCCAGCACTTGGGAGGCAAAGGCAGGCGGATTTCTGAGTTCAAGGCCAGCCTGGTCTACAGAGTGAGTTCCAGGACAGCCAGGGCTATCCAGAGAAGCTCTATCTCAAAACAAGACAAAACAAAACAAAACAACAACAACAACAAAAGAAAGGTGTTCCCAACACCATGCCATTCTGATCGCACTCACTGTTGATACAGCAGGCCCTTGGGAAACTGGCAAAGCTAAGCTGGAGGCTTGTAGGTAGAAGACCTGGATGCACACAGGGTCATACCGGTTGCTACCACATAGAGTTCTAGATGTGTGTAGGAGGCTAGGATGTGGCAGGGAGGGACTGTCACTGACACAGAAGTAAAGAGATGGGGCATCAGGGTAGCTTCGTGGGCCTCTGAGGTTACCAGGTCACTGAGAATCAACCTTCAGGTAGAATACAAGTCAGTTGAGTGAACCTGCGCTTGAAATCAACTTTACAACATTTCTAAAACTTCCGATGGTTGATCTTGGCTTCATCAGATCTTATTTCACACTGGCTTTCAACAAGTCATCCCCTCTCCCTCTCCCTTTTTTTTTTCCCCACTTCCAGAAACTGAGCCCAGGTCCTTGAGCATGTTACCCAAGCACTCTATTGTTGAGATACATGTCCAGGCCTCAGGTTTTGTAAAGGACTAGAAACCTCAAGGATGGTCTGACAGGAAAGGGCAGGTAAAGAGCTCTGTTCGCTCCCCTGGCACAGGCCATGACCACAAGCCAACATTTGATTAGAGAAACATGTTATTAAATTTAATTTTCTTTAAATACATAACCTTTTTCCCACTCTCAGCCACCCCGCTCAGGGGAGGAAGGGGACGCTCCACCCCCTCCATCCTGCGGGGCTGCATGTGGAAAGCCTGAGATGGCAAAGCTGAAGTATAAAAAATACTATTCACAGAGGGAGAAGCAGACGTCTGCACTACTGTACTTTCCCGACCATCCCCATCCCAAGGCCCATTTTGCTTCTAAAAAAAAAAAAAGCCCCTGAAAATGGGCTTGAGGATTGGACCCTTTCCTATAGAGAGGGCTCTGAGATTCAGCAGGGCCAGGGAGAGAATGAATAGCACCTCAGATCCTAACAGGGCAGGGTTGGTCCCATCACCCTGCAGTCGGCCAGGATGAGGCTGGCCTTTGTTTCCGATATCCCATGTAAACATTGACTTTTCCCTTTTGTTTGTTTGTTTGTTTGTTTTAGGTCCCTGCCTTCCTTTACTTCATATAGAGCCTTTCATCTTGGTTTCTTGAACTTTCTTTCCTTTCCCCTGGAAACCATTCCCTGGAAGGCTCTAGCAGGACTGAAGGCTGTGGGTGGGGCAGAGCCACCTCACCCTTTCAAGGTCAGAGTCACTTGTTCTCCAAAGGGAAGGGCCCATGTTCACAGTCACCGAGTTGACTCCTTCCCAGGGCAAAGATGAGGTGGGTGGAGGTGGATGGATAGTCAGTCCGGTACCAAGATGGAGTAGTCTACCTGGATGAGGATATTGGAAATGGATAACGGAGAGAAGCCCTGGGAGGCAGAGGCTGGACAAGTCTGGTACTGGTCCAGCGGTGCTGGTAGAAGCTCAGCTCTGTCATCCTTGCCTTTAGGTGAGTGTGAGTCACGTTCATTGTGGAGAGGAACCCAGGTGCCCAAAGTAAGCAGTCTTCTCCAGCGTCCATGCGCAAGGAGCACTTATACCAGTTCATCCAGCAGGATCCCGATGCTCTGCGAGGTCTCCGTGGGGCCAGCAATGGGCTTGTTGCACATGGGGCAGACACAACGTACTTCTAGCCACTTCACCAGACACCTGTGAACAAGAGGACTGTTATGTCCGAGGGGACACTCCAGATGGCACCAGCTGTCTCTGAGCCCAGCTGCTTCTGAGAACAAAGTGCCCCTGTGTCTGCCCCAAGCTAACCCCTCTGGTGTGCTGAACCTAGGGAGTCATTGTTGAACAGCACTGTAGGGATGAGAAGGTTCTTGAAGATGCTCCCGAATTATTCCTCCTCTACAGGACCACCCATCCCGCCCCATCCCATCCCCCACATACTTGCGGTGAAAGGCATGCTGGCACGGAAGCACGCCTAGCTCATCCTTCCCCTTGAAGTCTTCCAGACAAACTGCACAGGTCTGCTACAGAGAGGGAGAGAAGGGATGGGAGGATCTGTGAGCTACACATCTGGAGGCCCTTTTCACACACCCATCCTGAATATCCATCCACTACCTCATGCTCAGACAAGGAGAACAAGCTCCAGCCCAGTCTTCTGTGTCAGTCAGACCAAGTTCAGCCATATTTTACAAGGCTGTGCTCACAGGATAGCAGCCAACACGGCTGCTTAAAGTGAAATCAACCAAATGAAGAAATTATACAAGTAACCCCCACTCCCAGAAGTGCTAGCCACGATTCTTCAAATGTTTTATTCCAAATATGAAGGTGTGGGCTGGGGTAGAGCTTTTTGTTCACCATGCATGAGATTCTGCATTGGATCCTCTGCACCACAATCAAAAACATCAGAGAGTGCGCAATGATGTTTGCTGTATAGTGATACAGGCCCTTCACGGAGGGCAAACATGATCTCTCTGCTCAACATCCTGGTTTTACTTTTTTTGGAGGACAAACTCTCACATAGTCCAAGCAGGCCTCAATAACATAACCAAGTGAGTTTCAAGGAAGCCAAGGATACACAGAGAAACCTGTCTCAAAAACAGAACAACAACAACAAAACCCCAAACAAAAACAAGAGAAAAAGAAAATCTCTCGGGACATGGTAGCACAGATCTGTAGTCCCAACTCAAGGGAGGCGGAGGCTGGAAAATGAGAGATTCAAGGGGCAGCCTTGGTTTTAGAGTTATATTATTGGTCTTCAGTATATCCTGAAGTTGTCAAGTTGACTGTATCTGGAATGTACTAAAACCCAGATGACTGAGCTCACCCAGGAGATCTTCATTATTTCTTTTGTATTTTTGTTTTGTTTTGGAGACAGGTTTCTCTGTATATTCCTGGCTGTCCTGAAACTCACTCTGTAGACCATGCTGGGATCAATCTCAGAGATGCACCCACCTCTGCCTTCTGAGTGCTGGGATTAAAATCACACACCACCACCACCCTGCTGTGATGAATTTTTCTTAATTAGATATCTGAAGTGGGAAAACCACTTCTAATCTGGATCTTTGAGGCGACAATCTAAACCTATAATCCAGGTTTGAGGTAGGAAGATCCACATTTAATCTGTGCCACAACTTCTGCCGGTAGCCCACATAGAGGACATGGAAGAAGGCAGTTTGCTCTCTTTGCCCACTTGCACTCACTCTCACTGACAAGTTTACTCTTTAGCTGGCTTTAGAGATTACTTCTTTGGGATTTCCGTATATATTGAATACCAACTGAGACATCCAGCCTTGGGAACTGAACAACTACTGGGTTCTTGGACTTTCTTTTGGTAGACAGCCATTGTTGGACTAACTGGAACACAGCCCATAAGCAATTCTAATAAATCATTCACATGCATGCACACGCGTGTGCATGCATACACCCCCCCCCCACACACACATTCATTTATTCTTTAGGTTCTATTCCTCTAAAGAACCTCTGGCTAATACAGATATATTTATATATGCTCAGTTACATTCATTGTATCCAGACTTCCATCCCTGTTTATGAGACTCCAAGGTCTCAGCTGAACTACTGCAGAAGGGGTAGGAGTATCTTTAGCTTTTCCCTTTTTCTTTTCTTTCTTTTCTTTTTTTCTTTTCTTTTCTTTTTTTATTTTAGAACCTGAGGTATAGCAGCAACATGAAAAGGGGAGTAAAATGAAGCCAAGTCTACAAAGTCTCCTGTTTGGTGATGCTGGAATCCTATTCATTTTCAGACAACCACAAACGGCTCACTCTCTGGTTAGGAGTGTCTGTGGTTATGGATGGAAGCCTTGAGAGATGGGTTAGGTAACCTCAAAGGCTGAGGGGAGTGATCAGGAAACGACTCTGTAATGGCTGGTTTTATGTCAACTAGACACAATCTAGAGTCAGAGAGGAAGGAGCCTCAGTTGAAAACATGCCTTCATGAGATGCAGCTGTAAAGTATTTTCTCAATTAGTGATCAGTGGGGGAGGACCCTGCCCATTGTGGGTGGTGCCATTCCCTAGGCTGGTGGTCCTGGGTTCTGTAAGAAAGCAGGTTGAGTAAGCCTTGGGGAGCAAGCCAGTAAGTAGCATCCCTCCGTTGCCTCTACATCAGCTCCTGCCTCCAGGCTCCTGCCTTGTTTGAGTTCCTGTCCTGACATCCTTCAGTGATGAACAATGAGCAATGTGGAAGTGTAAGCTGAATAAACCCTTTCCTCCCCACAGCTTGCTTGATCGTGGTGTTTTAATCGCAGCAATAATCCTATGACAAGGCCCATTAAAAGAAGAGGTGGAGGGGAAAAAAGGGAAGGAGGAGCGATATAATTACATTTTAGTTGAACTGGCCTTATTGGGGGTGGGGGATGGAGGGGAGTAGCAAGCTAGAACCACTACACGGGATACAAGTCACTGATGTGTTAGACAATATACATGAGTAAATGGGTCTCTTTTTCCTTAGTCACGAACCTGAGCATGGGTACCAAATAGAGGGGACATTAACAGCACACTGCCTATGGCATAAAACCTGTAGGCCCCCATATAAGATTCAATACGGCATTGAGCCTGTGACACCCTTATAGATTCTACATAGCATACTCGCAGTGGCACAGAGCCTATGACTACACTTACAGATTCTACACAGCACACTGCCTACGGCCTAGAGCCATTCACACCCTTAACAGATTCTGCTTGATTCCTGTTCCCACTTCCGCGGAACTTTTGTTTTCTGCCGGATCCAACTCTATAGACAAAACCTGCTGGGATGAATTCCTTCTGGTTGGACATAGGTTCTCAGAGAGCAGGGACCTACAGAGTTTGGAAAAGATCCAAATGAACAGCTAGAGAAAGATGTTCTAAGCAGGATCCTTGCAAACATTATCCCAAGACACTTACCCCATAGAGCTGTAACTTCTTAGCATCACCTTTAAGGACCACCTGAGGAGCGAAGAGGCAGTTGATGTGTCAAAGTACCAATCAGAGGCCAAGGGGGATCACCCAATGATGTGTGCCTCTCCCTCTCTGCCCACCCCTACCCCAAAGGTGAATGGCAAACCCAACTTGAAGACACTAGCAGGAGTGGTAGGCCTCTGGGATACCCAGAAGCCCAGGGAATGCAGACTATCAGAGCTTGGGCTTGCTCTCCCTTTTCACAGCAAATAGTGAAAGAGGAAGTTTAATGCAGAGACGATGCTTTACCTCCTTGTAGCCATATCGCTCGCTCTGTGCCTGGTTCCGGAGTTTGCTAGGTGGAGAAAGAAAGAAAGAGGGCAGGTTAGCACGGTGCATTAGGAAAACGGGACAATGACAGTATGTGAAGTCGGCTGACTGCTTGGATATTTTTCTGGCGGTAAGAAGGGTCCTTGTTTCATAGATACCAATGGGGCATGTCTCAGGTGTATGCAGGCCACCCAGAGTTGATAAAGGCTTAAGGATCTGTGACTGGATGTCAGCCATACTCTGGGCTGTTCTGCAGCAGGGCATCCTAAATTGTTTATCTGTGTTCCTCTAGGTATCTAAACAATGTAGATCAACAGTATCGCTTACTATGTGCAGAGGGAGTTAGGATGTCACCTGTAGAAAGCCACTCTCTGCAGCCAAAACACAGCATGTTGTTACCCATAGCAATGGCATAATAGATAGTCCATCCAGGCTAGGTTATATGTCCCTTGGAGACTGAAACTGTCTTGCTGAGTCCAAACAACTCCAGGAGGGAGAAACTTTCCATTTTATAGATGAGAAAAATGAACCCCAAAGAAGTTAAGCAATTCGCCGAAACTTTACAAAGCTGGCGGGTGTTAGTTCTTGGGTTCAAAGTCAAGTCTATGTGACTATAGAGCTTGCCCTCTTTACCACAGAACATGATCTATGCACCCTCACCTTCATAATTAGATGAATTACATTGAAGTCCTGAGATCTTATTTGATCTTGAGATACACTGCATGCTTTATTGAGACTTTGATTTTGAGTGACTTTGACTTTGGTGCAGATGGCTAGAACCATAATTATACACTGGTTTTGTGTCATCTTACACCTGTAGGGGAAATCTTTACTATGAATTCTACCTGTAGCTTTTTGATCTTGCTATGTCGCCCAGACTGACTCCAAACCATGCTCTTCATGAAGGATTGTGGGACCATAGGCATTTTAGGTGCCTCCAATATTTGGACATAGAACTTTCACCTTTCTGTTGTTGAGTGCTAGGAATTAACCCCAGTGCCTCAAACATGCTAAAATGATCAAGTCAACTGGGTTAAGAAATTCTAGGTAAGTAAAGAATATCCCAGGGTGTGTCTGTGATGGCATTTCTAGGCACAATATCATCATGAGAGTTTTGACCTGGTCTTCAATGGATCCATGGAAGGTTGTAAAAAGAGGTCGTGCCTTGTCCCTAGTTTTTTTTCTGTCCTGTCTCTTGTCCAGTAAGAAGTGATGAATAGCTGACAAGCTCCAGCCACCAAGACTTTTCTGCTTTTGAGACTGAAGTGACCATGGAGAAAACCCTCCCAAACCACAAATCAAAACAAATATGATAAAAGGAACTAATAAACTTCCTGCATACATGCCTTGTCACTGAGCTACACAACCAGCACTTTCTAACATAGGTCTGAGTGTCCACTACCTGTACTTACAGGGTAGATAGATGAAAAACTGCTTTTACATTTCATTGAGTAAAAATAGAAGTTAAAAAAAAAACCATAACACTGACTTAGATCTCATGGCTGGGGTGTAGCTCAGTGGTAGAGTACGTAGTTTCCATGCACGAAGCCATGGGTTTTATCCTCATCACCCCAAAAGGAAAAGAAACATATTTTAGAAAAAAAATGTCATCAGCATATTCATTTATGTGCTGTCCATAACCGCCTTCGGAACTGTATAAGATGGCACAAGAGATTTGCTAGGCGGTTGCAATGAAAAGGGTTGCTGGTCTCAGTTGCAAACACAGAACACCTCATTTCAGTGGCTGAAGTTCCTCTCAGGGTGGAGAAGACGCAGAGGGCACAACCATGCCTCAGAGGTGGGTCAGGACAGAGAAGATCTGGCTACCAGCCTCTTCCGTCCTTCCTGATAGGAAGTCACGTGGTCTGGCAAGGTTGAATGTTCCTGGAGCCTCTGGGAAAGTCCCAGCCAGGTGGACACCTGCCAGGGTAGCACTGCCATGGTCCCCTCCCCTTTTCTCTACCATGTGCTCTTTCTGTCTGGACTAACCAGAGATTCTCAACTGCCCTATCCTTAATGTGCAGAACTCTCTAGTCTTGAAAACGGACTACATATAAATGTCTTTTTCTCATCTCCTAAAGGAGATGGGCAGGGAAGGGTGTACCCAAAGCACCATTTACCTGGGCATGGTTTCCCTTTAGAAAAAGAAAGCTTCCATTTTCTCTCCTATTTATGAGAGGTTAGCCTCAAACTGGCTCTGTAGCCAAGGATGACCTTGACCTTCTTTCCCCCTACCTCTGAGATGCCGGGATTCTGAGAACTTCGTGCATGCTAGGCACTCAGCTATAACCCCAGTCGATCTGTACTTCCGAGCTCATTCTGGTTCAGCCCTCTAGGGCTAAGGACTGCATGCTTGCTAGACAAGCTTCTGAGCTACATTCCAACCTGTCTGGAGGTAGAAGCTTAAATGGGAGAATGCCACACATTTTTTTAAGGGTTCAATTGCCTTCCCCAACAATATTGATATACTTGTGCTGTGCGTGCTTTGCTTTATGACCACTGGGCCCTAGTGCCCCATGTCCTCTCATCTGTCGTGTATTGCAGGCTCCCTTTAGTAGAGGGATCCAGACCCCTCGCAGCTCTTTCTTTAGCCTGCATAAGCATTTCAGCTCAGGAAGGATTAGGTCATGAGATGGGAGTTGAAGGGTTGCAAAGAAAAAACGGTAAAAAGCAGACTCTGGGCTGGGCTGTCCTAGCTGGGGATGAAGAGCCAAGAACTCTGGACAGGTGGCTTTCTCAGCTGTTGGCTGAGCAAAGCAACTAAAAATACCACGATTTCAATGAGACCATTGCAAACCACTGCCAGCAGGCTCTCTCTCCCTTCCCTTTTTTCCCTTTTAGAACAAACAATGCAGCCAGCTCCTGAAAATAATTGTTCCTTTCCTGTCTGTTTGTATTCCACCGGGCCCCTCCATCCTGTGTAAGAAGAGGTTAGCACTGAGGGGAAAGAGGAGAAACAAGGGACAGCTGGCAGTTGAGGCGTCCCTGGCTCATGAGCTCACCGGGTCAGGAGTGGCAGTCATGGGCCTATTTTGGCTGAGGTGGAAACTGAGAAGCAGGAGAGGAAGTGGCTTGTGTGCTTGTGTCTTTCTATATATAGACACATACACCACATACCAGTGAACCTTTGGAAGCATGAGACCCAGGGGGTAGCCTGCTCTGGACGGGCTAAGGGACACAAGGTGAGGTAAGGGAGCAGAATACTGCAGAAAGGACAGATGGCATTGTGTTACACCACGGTGGGGACAGGTTTTAGCATCATGTGATTGCTACTCTTTCTGGTTTTCTGCTACAACCAAAACAAAACCAGTCAGTAACAGCCACAGTCTTTCTCCTGTAGCTGACACCCTACCGACTGGGTGGTCACGGAGGTCACATGAAAGGCGGAGCTGTCAGATTAACCTAGCTCAGCATCTCCCCAGCGGTATGACCTTGTGCAAATGCTTTACTGTCTGGACATGTCTTCATTTATGCAATTTGATAACCCTTACATTGGAAGGTTGTTCACTGAATGAATAGTTTACCACATCAGGCAGCACAAGAAAGTCCTTAGCAAAGGCTAGCTCCAAACCTAGTCATGCCTATTAGTGGTAAACTAGAAAACAAACCTCAACCATTTACTTGTTGGTCAGAGTGTTAGCGTCTAACATACATTTTGCTCATTACCTTTGGCATGTGTGTGTGTGTAGAAAGAAACCAAATAGAGAAATACAGTTAGTTTTATAAATTTCCATTAACCATATCCTAAGTAAATCTGTGATATTTGAACCTGCATATCTTTACCCATCGGGAGAACTGAGTTAATTGTTTGATAAAGGGTCTGAGGGAAAAGATCAGTGAATAAGAATAGTCTGGGGGAAAAACTGATAAGAATTATAAAACAGAAAAGGGAAGTCTGCATTTGCTTCCGCTTAGTAGCTAAATGTGCATTTTGCACTACTTATAGAGGAAGAAAAATAAAGCATTATTTTCTCTGCACACTTAGGTAGAGAAATTCAAGCTTAAAAGACCTGTTCGGGAAAGTTCTGAAGAGCCCCAGCGCAACCAATGGCCGTAGGACCGATGCTTTTCTCATGTACATCCAAGTATCTGCCTCCTAGCAGAAGTGATCCCCCAGCAGGCAATTTGAATAAGGTATCCAGATTCCTTTCTCTTCATTTTCTGAGATTAGACCTCAGCCCCTGCTTCTTCAGGCATTTAGTAATGTGTGCGGCAGGGAAGGGGTTGGCTGGGTGGTAGTGGTGCATGCCTTTAATCCCAGCACCTGCAAGGCAGACACAGGTGGATCTCAGCAAAGTCAGAGCCAGCCTGAATAAAGTCCAGGACAACCAGGGCTACCTAGAGAGACTCTGACTTATAAACAAACAAAACACCAAAACCAAAACAAAATTCCAGGGATTATTAACTTGTTCTACTAGCCAGAGATATATCACACTCACCCGCCTATGTACAGAGCAGACCCATGGGACAGAATCATTAGCATCAACAGAACACCCCATTAGAACTCTGCTTTAAGTGGGGCAGTGGTGGCGCATGCCTTTAATCCAGCACTTGGGAGGCAGAGGCAGGCAGATTTCTGAGTTTGAGGCCAGCCTGGTCTACAGAGTGAGTTCCAGGATAGCCAGGGCTACACAGAGAAAACCTGTCTTGAAAAACAAACAAACAAACAAACAAACAAACAAACCAAAAAACTCAACAGCAACAACAAAACAAAACCCTGCTTTAAAAAGTATCAAGCATGTCCAATACTTTTTCCTCCATGTGTATATGCAAATACGATGCGTGCACATTCATGTTCCTATGTGTGTAAGCACACAAGTGCATATGTGTATCTAGGGGATTGCTACTGACAGGTTTCCTCAGTGGCTCCCTGCCTTAGTCACTGAGGCAGCCTCTGTCTCTTGAACTCAGAGCTCACTGATCTACTAACCTAGCCAGCTTATCTCAGCTGTCAATCAGCCAGAAAGCTTGCTGGTCCAGGGCTGGAATTCCCACGGGCCCCCATGCTCACCCAGCATTAACGCCGGTTCTGGTACTCAAATTCCACTCCTGGGATAACCACTGAACCATCTCCCCAGCTTTTTAGTAGAAAACAGCCATAAGCTCCTATGTCCTTCCCCATAAGGAGACATAGCTCCCAGAGCCTAGCTGCCCCTGCCAAGATCAAGTCCTTCCCTTTCAATTCCTAAGCAACTGAGTGTCATCTTTTCCACTCTTAAAAACAAAATCTTATAAGACAAACAAGGAGTTTTCTAGCACAAGCTTGCTAACATCGGCATTGGGAGAATGGGCGATTTCATGCGAGGGCAAAAGAATGGATGTCTACCTAACTTCTCCCTAACTGTGAATGGGAAGGAGGCAAGTGGGGAGGAAGCACAGTGCAGGCAGGTAAAAGGGTACTCGCTTTATTGCTCAGCCAACAGTCATTCTGGACAACTTTAGAATAATTAGTTGGCTAAGAGGTGGGATGTAGGCCAACCACTGGTGACCTTATGTGCTCTGGGGATAACTTGATAGGTTGCTATAAATAGAAACACCAGACCTCAGGGGTCCAGAGAAGTAGGGGCTAAGGCTCCAGCATGAGGCTCTGATGTGTGTGGGGGTGTTGAGGCTGATGGGGGGTAAGGGGTTGCCTTGTTCAATATCCTCTATGCCCTCATCTCCTTCTTGATCCCCCCTCCCTCCCCAGACCAAGCACCGAGCAACCAACCTGATGAAGTAGCAGCAGAAGATGAGGCTGAGCATGAAGACGAAGATGCCTGTGCCGAAGATGACCATGTAGATGTTGAGGGGAAGGTCTTGGAAACTGATGGGTGGCATTGAGCAGGACTTGTTGGTACTAACCAGTCCCAGGCCACAGAAACACCCTGTAAAGCAAGAGGCAAATAATACTAAAGTTAGACACTTAACCGCTGTGGCCCATGGCACATTGGGTTAGCACGACTGTCAGGCTTGAGCTGAAGCTTAGATCCCGGCACTAACTACAAGCTACATGATCCTGAGGAAACCTATCAAATGGACACTGTTCGGCAAACTACTTGGATTGAATTTAGAAGCCAGGTGGTAGTTGGTACACGCCTTTAAATCCCAGCACTGGCACACTCCTTTAATCCTAGCACTAAGGAGGCTAAAGCAGGTGGTTCTCTTGAGAGTTTGACAGTCGGGGCTACAAAGAGAAACTCTGTCTTGGAAAACAAAATATTTAGGGCAAGGGCAGAAAATAGAAAAAGAAAACAGTAACAAAACTGCCTCCAAGCAGGAGGTACTCTTGAACACAGTAGCAGAAAGAGTAGTCTGTGCTAAAGTATATTGTTTAAGTCCTGACCCACCTCTCCTAAGCTAGCTATGCCATCTTCAGGAAGGGACTGCTCTAGAACTCAATCCGTCCTAAGGAAGACTAGCAAAAGAGGAATAGAAACAATGGTTTAAGTAATAGGCTTCACAGACTGCAGAGAGCAATTGCCAAGGTCATCTGTCACTACTAACCACCTGTTCCAGAAGACAAGCTGCGCCAGAACCAGAATAGAAATTGTTCACTACAAATCCAGGCTGGCATTCCAGAAGGCAGTGACGGAGACTGGTGTCAGAGAATCTCGGGCTTCCTGGAGAGGTCACCTTTCTACCCACGGCCTCAAGGTCCCTGTCCTCGAGTAAATCCCCTGAGAGCTTGTTAGAAACGTGCAGTCTTAGGTCTACGACACACTAAAATGAACTGGATTCATCGTTTAAGAAGATCCTTGGAGACTCCCGTGCACATTCAGTTCGGAGGCACTGGCTGGCCACTAGCTGCTTTCCTTCTCATTGGCCCTCCCGTGTGGCAATCGTCTTCCCTTGCCCATGCTTAGTGTCAAGGTGGGTGCATATTCATCAGACTCTGGGCAGTAAACCAAAGAAAGTCTTCAGAAAAAGGAACAGATTGTCTTAGCTGGGCATGATGACAACATTATAATCCCAGATATCTAGGAGTGTCTACTCAGGAGGCTGGCACAAGAGAATCGAATCGTGAGTTCCAGGCTAGCCTAAGTTACGCTATGATAGCCCTGGTGGGGGGCGGGCTCCCCCCCCCAAAAAAAACCCAAACAACAGAGAATCAAATTCCTTTAAGGAATTCTTTTTTTCTTATAGCACCCCAGACAGCTAGGAATGTATAAGACACAGCTGGAAAGAGAATATAGCCAAAAATATAGAGAATATAGCATTAAAGACCGATTCCTAGACCACGTTCCTACGTTCCTACGGTCTAACCACATACTGCACTCCCAGCCTTTTTACTTTCCCAAGAACCTGCCAGAATGCAGGGGTGGGCCTCCCTCCTGGCTTTTTGGTTAGGAGCCAGGATTCTACCTGTTAATTACCACAACTGAGTGCTACCACAACTCTGCATTAGAACAGCTACGACAACGACTGATGACAGCAATCCGTGTGATGCCGTGTCACCGTTTGGACTTGAAACCTCCCTACAGCAGGCTTCGATGTTGACCCCTCTTTCCTCGGCTTCTTGGACCCCATGGAATAAAGCTCCATTTTTCCTGCCTGAGAGATGGAGGCCTCTAAAAGACATGAGCCACGTTGTTCTAAGTCTTACGGATGATTCTGATTCTGTCGCAGTGAGGACAAAACTAAGCGTCCCGCGTGATGTATGTGTCATTCCTCTCTGTCCCTTATATCAATTGATGACCTAAGCCTTCATCAGAACATCTAAGACCACGCCCATTCTCCGGCCACATCCCTGTTTTACACACATTACCTACTCCAGTCTTAATTGATGTCATCGTAGTTTCTAGTTTTTCTAATTATCCTACATGTCTGGCACCTCTCCAACTCCACTTACCATGTAATTTCCCAACTCCTGTCTGGTTTCAAGTCTATATGAACATGCACCCTGCCTCCCTGCACTATCCAATGAGCTTTCTCCAGCTGGGCAAGTTTTGGTATATCGTGTCCAACTATGTCTTTGTTTGTTTCCACATTTTGTGTCTACATAATCTTCTCTGCCTAGAATCCCTCCCTTTCTGAAGTCTTGTCTTGGTCTGGGTTGGGGGTTGCCATGGTTTTGCTCAGAATATCTTCTGTTACCCTGTTGTTGCTAGTATCAACTTAATTTGCCTCATGTTGCACTCTGAATTGATTATATGACAAGCACCATTGTTGACATTAAGGATAAAGGAGCACAGAGGAAGAAAGGGATGCAGGAAAGAGACTCAAACACTGTCACTCGCAACATTCAATGTGATAGCAGAAGTGAGTCTATAATTCCGAGCACAAGGACAGAGCCACGGAGTACATGTATCCTAGGCCTGAGGATACCAACTTGGACTCCTAAAAACCTCTGCAGTACCCCCGAGCTAATGTTTGGTCTGTCTACATAGCTAGACAACAAATAACTCCCTGCTTTCTCAAAACAACCTAGCCTCCTTGGCAAAAGCTCCCACTTCAAAGTAGGGAGACTGATGTTTGGGAAAACTGCCCAGAAACTGCCTACAGCTAATAAATCACCAGTCAGCCAACAGGTATTGTTGTGGGTCTGCTTTATACATTGACCCCAGACCATGTGGGGAAAACAGAAAGTGAAAGCAGTTCTTGTTCTGAAGGAATTTTCAATTAGGGGAAATTAAAGAAGCAATTAGCTACCAGATGTTGCTATGCTCAATAAAGATGGTTCTTGCTTCTGGCTTCCACTGGAGAAGGGTTAGACAGAATACCATCCTCATCACTGACTCCCACTTGTGGATTTGCTCTCTGTGGGCCTTCCGCAAAGCAAGTTCCTACAAAGGTACAAAGACCTACCACAGCATCCTTTAGCCTGTACCAGCAAAGGGCCTCAGAAACTCTTTCAGATAAGTGTACCTTCAGGACCAACAGGACCTTCTTCTACTGCCAGGAGCCTCCTTTGTCCTGCCACAGAAATATCTGATGCTGAAAGAGAGCCAAAATCCTCTCCACATTTGCCATGGCTCTTCTGTGTACCTTACATAAGCAGGACCCTGGTATCTACTGGGTCCTAAAGAACCTCATATTTCTATTTTGTAAAGATCGAACTGTGGTGGCAACTACTCTTGCAGATGGTATATGCTTGCACTCTGTAGGAATTTTGGTTCCAGCAGTCCCTGATTAGTTTATCTCCATCTCTTTTTCCCCTCATGTCCTAAAATGCTTTTCCTGGGGTCTCTGGGACTGAATCATCGAATTTGGTTTTCTATGGAATAAGGAAGCAGCTTCAAGAGTAAATGTTCAAGCCTATGTTGTGTAACAGTTTCCTCTGAAATTAAGATTTCATCCTGCAGGAAGCTCCTTAAGTAGAAAGGTAAACTCAAAGAGCTTCAGGAAGTCCCTGAAACTCACCAGATTCACTAGGCCCCTCACAACCAAAGCAAGCAACAGCAACAAAAGCTGAGAATCTGCTTTCGGGAAGGAAGCTGAACTCCAAAGACGACTCTAAGACCAGACGAGCTGCCTAGAAGAAGCAGAAACAAGCTGAGGTGTGTAGAAGAGGTTTAGACCAATGGAGGCTTCTAGAAAATACACTCTTTAACCTGCTGAGCTGCCTGCAGGCTGTGCAATGTTTCCCAGCTGTGGGTTTCCCTGCTTTTGTGAGCTGTCACCCATGTTGGAGCAGGCCTTGATGATACAGCCCTCTGAGTCATTTCTAGTGGGTTCCCTGTCTGAGGTGAACAGACATTGCATTTTCCCATGAAAAGTTGTGTCACACAGAGGCATGATGTCATAGTAGCTTATGTCTATCATTCCCAGCAGTCTGAAGGACGCAGGCAGAACTATGAGTTTTCTTAAGGGCAGCCTGGCTAACAATGAAAACCTGTCTCATAAAAACAAAGCAAGACATCTGCTTCTATTACAGTGTGATTACCTTTCATCCTATACTCTCAAGAACAGAACTGACTCGGATGTTATTATTATTTTTTTTAACTTCAGAATATTTGTATACAGCGTGATGTGTCTCCAGGATACAGCTCAAGTCTAAACATGAAATCCAACCTGTTTCATATACACCTCATTCACGCAGCCTGAAGATAACTTTACACATTCTAAATATTTTGTGCACGAAGCAAAGTTTAGTAGTGTGAAATTTTCTCTTGGTACATGTTAGACTTCTATAAATGTTGAGGTTTACAGGATTTTATTGTCCAAATTGGACAGTAGTTTTTTTTTTCCTGAAAAGATCAAAGAATTTTCATCCCAGGATATGGGGTCTCTAGAGGTCCTTCAAGGGAGCAAAAATGGGGTTATATTCCCTCTAGAGTCAAGAGACAAGACCCGCCAATCACTTTAATAAGTGCAAGATAAAGGGTGTAGCGCAGGTCAGTGATCGACCGGGTATGTTTAATAGGAGAAATCTCTGGGTTCCAACACCACGGGGGTAGGGCAAGATAAAACACTTTCCAAAGGATGCTGCCCTGAAAGGTCGGGGTTACTGACAGCTTAGCCCTAGCTAAATCCCTGGTCCATTGTCTTCGACCTGACACCAGAATGTCTCATCTCAGCTGGCAGGCTGCAAGCTGGAATGACGTCAGAGCAGGGCTAGCCAAGACCAGTGGAGCTGGGAACTGCTTCTTTCCAGCCAAAGGGAATCTTTCCCAGATGCTGGGATACACCGTCAGGCCTCAATCCCCCATTCCCTCCCCTCTCCTCCATTACTGGCCTATCACACACAGCTTGGTTCATTTTCAGGAAATTAGATCCGACTAGCAAAAGGAGGAAGGAGGGGGGGATGGAGGCCACTCATACACATGCGGCCCAAACCCTGCCTCTTTAAAAGAGTCCTTTAAAACAAAAGACTCTTGAAATAATTAGTCCAAGATCTTGCAGAAGTCTACTTGAGAATGAATTTTCCACAAGTAACCAGACTGCCATCCAAAAACAAAAACAAAAAACAAAACAAAACCAAAAACCAAAAAACTAGCTGCTTTCCATCTCGTCCAACTTGCTTTAAAAAAAAAAGTGGTCAAGCTTCTGAGTACTTCTGGGGAAAGAGTGGGTGGTATTAACATCGAAGGCTTACGTGACTGGCTCAGAAAGATCCAACAGGTAGCATAGACAAGAAATCCAGACCGGTTTTCTAACCTGTAACACCTGAGCTGCCCAAAAGCCTCAGATGAACTAATTTAGCATCATCACGCGGTGGGGTGTGGGAAGCGGTTGGTGGCGGGTGGCCGTGCTTGGAGGTGCCATCACCACCTAGGCTGAAAGCAGACCCCCACGGTCTGGCCTTATTGCCAGAAAGCAAAGCTCTTGCCAGGCTAGCCCTGAGCTGGGGGCCCAGCTTTCTGCAAGGCTTTATCTATTCAGTAAAGCGACGCTCTTTTAATCCAGCCCCTGGCCCCTAGGAGCCAGTGGAAACCAACAAAGAGAAAGAAAGTCACCCCGCGCCCTGTCCCACACGCTGCACTTGTATACATATTTAAAATAGCCTGCAAAGTTTCAGAACCGGAACTTGAGCTCCCTCTAGGAGATCCTAGCCCGGGCGCGGATTTAATTCCAACCACCACAACAAAGAACAGAGTTTGAGAGCGCACAAAGGCAGGCGAAGGGGTAGAAGAGACGGACCGCGACACAAAGGCCGGAAAGGCTCGGCTCACACGCCCCTGGCCCTCCACTCGCTTCCAGACCCCCTTTATCCCCAACACTGTGAATGGGACCTTTCTAACAGCGCACTGTGCAGAGCCCCGCAGGGCACCAGGACGCCTTCTGGGCCGTCCCAGACAAGGGGAAACTTGGCTCAGGACCTGGAACTGCGCGGTCTCCGATCACCCACCGGTCCAGGGACTCACCGTTACACCACTGGAATGGGTGCATCAATGAAGTCAAGGTCGGCTTCCCGGAGCGAACGGAGGCAAGGTGTTGGAGCCGGCGGGGCTGTGCACGGAGACCGCCGGGATGGAGATGCAACTCCGGGAGGAGTGGAGTTAAGGGCTGCAGAGAGGCCGGTTTGCAGAGCAACAAAGAGGGCAGAGGAGGAAGCAAAGTCTTTCGGAGTGGAGCCCTGCCGAGGGGAATCTCGGAGGGCCGGGGCCGGGAGGGCGCCGAGAGAGCCGGGATGCCCGGCCGAGAAAGCAGCAGCGGGGACACGAAGCAGGGCTTGGGTCCCACTGCGCTGAGCAGTGCGCGCTGGGATTCCGAAAACTGACACCGCGCGGCTCACACCCCCTCCCTGTGACTTCTCCCTCCCGGGAGCCCGCCCCCTTTTCGTCACCTGCCCTCCAGCCAATGGGAGCCTTTCTCCTGCCCCCGGGTATTATTTACAAGCCAGTTTACCCTCCGGACAGGGGAGCTTTTTAGCTGGGTAGACACCTACCCCGCCTCCTAGCCAGGCCTGGGGAGTCCCTAGTCTGCCCAGAGGCGTGAAAGGTGACGCCCGCAGGGGTCGAGGATCTCTGCCCCCCTGGACCCGGGCTGGGAGGACTATGGTTGAAAACGATTAGCGCCACTTTTGTTTTCCGCCTACAGATCCGTGCCTGTCTCGAATTTCTATAGCTTCGTAGAAGCCAGTCCTGGGGGTCGGTTCTGCTTACCCTTTGGCTTTCGACCCGGTTACGCGTGGCAGCTAGCGCATTTTCAAACTCACCGCGAAAGGAGGGAACTGAGGCAAGAGGGCAAAGCAGATGAAACTCAAAACTCGATCTTCAAAGGGTTATTGTTCTCACCTCACTTCAGGACAGAGCCTTCTTTTAGAAACCAAAATTTAAGGCCTAAAGATGAAGGCCATACCTTGCCAGGATTCTAATCTCCTAGACTGTAACTAAAACCCAGAAACTGGCTTTGTCAGTTCCCGGGACAGGGGTCTTGCTTCGGTGTTGAATGAACAGGAGATGAAGAAAAAAAAACTATCTCAATTCTCCGTGTAGTATTATTTATTTTGCACGACATTGTCTAGTTTATTTTATATGTTTCTTATTTATTTTGTTAATGGAAAGCTATTTGGTCCTAACTGGCCTCCAACTCAAGAGATCTGCCCTCCTCTGTCTCCAGGGTGCTAGGATTAAAGGCCTGTGCCACCTCATTCAGATCGCTTATGTATGCCTTTGTTTATTTATCTTTCCACTTAGAAGAAAGTATTACCATCAGGTACATAGATATCATTCAAAATACCCCGATACAAGGAGCCACAGCCACGGGCAGAAGCAGTGTGTGAGGAGACCCACAAATCAGCAAGCAAAACGGCCTGTTCTTCCTTTGACAATATTTATCCCACTATTGATCTGTTGGAACTGAGTTTCTGGCCCCTAAGTAAGCTAATGGATGTGCGCGAATGCTTTGCCATTTCAAAGTACAGTCGTTAAAGTATCAAATATCCTGACCTGCATCTCAGGACTGCTGGAACAAATGCAGTCTTCTTATCTCTGGGGATGGTCAGATAGTCTCCACATCCAGAAGGCCTTTGTGGACAGCGACTGTGGTGTTTGCACGTAGGCGCTACCTCCCTTAACACCAAGTCCCTGCTCCCCTCCCCTAATATTTGTGTAACTTGAAGGCTCACTGTAGTTCATCAGTTCGGTGGGGGGAGTGTCGTGGTGTACAGATCAAATTTCTGATTTATTTATTTATTTTATTTTATTTTATTTTATTTTATTTTATTTTATTTTATTTTTGAGACAAGGTTTAACTACGTAGCCAGGCTAACCTCAGAGACAGAGGTTTGACTCCCTCTACCTTCTGAGGGCTGGGCTTGAAAGTGTGCCTTCTTTTTTGACTGGTTCTCCCTCCCTCTTTCTCTCTCCCTCTATGTGTGTGTGTGTGAGAGAGAGAGAGAGAGAGTATTTGTGTGTATGTGTGTGTTCATATGTGTGCATGTATATGAAATATTAGGTATATGAGAGGGAGTGTATGTATGGATGTATGTGTTCGTGTGTGTGTGTGTTTGTGTGTGTGTGTGTGTGTGTGAGAGAGAGAGAGAGAGAGAGAGGATGTGTGTGTGTTAAAGTGAGTTGGTGAACACACATTTGTGTGTTAGGGCTAGGTAATCCAGGTGGGCCTCCAATTCTTTTTCTGCCATCACCTCCAGATGGCCTGGAACTTGCTCTGTAAACCAGGCTGGCCTTGAACTCACAGAAATTCACCTACCTCTGCCTCCTGAGTTGAGATTAAGAGTGGAACCCACCATATCTGTGTAAATTAGACAGTTGTAACACGTCTATCATTTCGGTGGGGGGGGTATTAGTAATGCGGGGTGCATGAGTTGAGGCAGGAAGTGTATGGGAATCTTTTGATACTTCCTGTCTGTTTCACTGTGACCTAAAAACTACAAAGGGGGAAAAAAGTAATTATGATTAAAAAACAAACTGTGATGTGTGCACAGCGCACAGGCACAGCGTTTCCTAGAGAGTGGTAATTTGTATTCACCATCCAGGTCAAGAGTTGATCCTACTTTCATTCTGCAGTGAAAGAGGAAGAGCCTTTGAAGGGGAAGGTGACAGGAAGGTGGAAATTCCTTCACAACCTATTCCCCTTCAGGCTAAAATGAGCTTCGTTGGGAAAACACTGGGAAGGCAGTGCCGATGGCTGGAGGTGCTCCTGCAGCCAGCTGGCATATCAGAGTGGTGAATACCCCAGATCATACTCACAAGAACTATGTTACAGTGGGGACCACGTGCTCTATAACTTATACTTTTTGTTCTTTTCTTTTTCACAGACTGGGTTCCTGTATATAGCTTTGACTATCGTAGAACTTGCTCTGTAGAGCAGGCTGGCCCCCAACTTAGAGATCTGCTTGCTTCGGGATCCTGAGTGATTAGGATTAAAGCCGTGTACCACCACCACCACCACGCTTATGATTTATACGTTTATGCATGCTGTTTCAAGCTCCCAGCAAGTTCTCTTGAGGCAAGTTGTCACCCTTATCCCTCCATCCTGACAATGTGACAACAGTTCAGGGCTTCAGCTGGGGACTTACCATGACAATGCTTTAGCCTTGGACATTTTCATAGTTTGGTCCCTTAGAAATTGATGTGTACTCATGTGTCAACTGACTTCTGACAAAAGTGCCAAGAACAAGCAGTGGAGAAGAGGTAGTCAACAAACAGTGTTGGAAAACCGGGTCTGAAGAAGGATGAGTCTCTAGCTTTCCTTATCACCAAACCCCAAAGCAACTCAAGGTGAATCAAAGATCTAATTAGTAAGCCTGAAATCCAAAGCTGGGTATGGTAGCTCACACTTTAAATCCTGCAGTGAGGTGCCAGGCCAGCCTGGGCTACTGGGTGGGATCCATGTCAGAAAAACAAACAAAACCAAACAACGAAACAAAAATCCCACAACACAACACAACACAACACAAATCCTAGAACTCTAACCCGACTACTGGAAAACACTAGGGAAACACTTTAAGACACTGGTGGAGGACGGGCTTCTTTAGATAAAACTCGAAAGGCCACAGAAGCAAAAACACACCTACCGATTAAATCAGACAGCCTGGTTAAAATACTGAGTTCTAGGATAGTCAGGAACTACATTGAAAGATAGTCTCTAAACCAAACCAAACCAAAACCACAAATAAACCAAAACACACATACACACACACACACAAAACGAATCAACAACAACAAGATCATCTGCCTACAGTCTCTGGGATATAAACTATTCTACCCCTATGGTCTAATATCTTACCCAAAACTATGTGCTACCTGGTCCCTTGATCCTTAAAAGTCCCCATTAGCCTACCTTTCCTGATTTTTCTCCTAATGCCAGTCTACCCTTGCTGTTTCTTGGTTTGTAGGCAGTGGTTTGTAGCCTTCACTATAGCCTGGGATTTCCCCTCTGATTTGACAGGCAAATCACCAAGCAAATTCCCTGTCAGCATCTGGAGCCAACTGGGAGAAAGTGGCTGGCACTGTGAGATTCTCCAGCAGTAAAGCTTGGAGAGTAGCCCCGCCCTGTTCCAGGAAAGCAGGGAGGGTTTCTTAGCTCACAAGCCAGTCTGATGTTTTGCAAACTGCAAGGCAGGAGCCTCTACCCTGCCCAGGTAACTTTCTCCGCGTCTATTAACAGGAGATTAAATCCATCTCCTCCTTCTGACTCTTAGAATTTACTCACAAACTGGGTCAAAACCAGGTGAGCCTACAGTCTCAGCCCATTACCTTGAAAGAGCCCGAGCTCCTCAGCACAGATGAGACCAATAACCAATCCTAGCCTAGAGAGGACGCAGCCAGAGGGTAAATAAAAGTATTAACCTGGAGAGAGAGTGTACAGTTTGCTTCTAGAATGTCTAAATCCAGGCCAGGAGGGTCCTGCACGAGGTAAGGGACACTGACTGTCACCGCACTCCACCGCACTGCCAGCCAGTTGACCCTTATGCCACAGAGAGAAGTAGTCCTCCCTTTTATTAGAAATAAAGACAGGTATTGTCACTTAAGGAGTAAGAGGAAGTGGCTCGAAGCTGGACGTGCAGGCAGGGGCTCGTTCCGTTTCCATTCGGTAATACCTGCCTGGTACAAAAAAATCTTTCCGGTTGCCAAGCCAGAAGAGGCTTGGTTGGTTCACACTGGTGAATAATCACAACCTCAAAAGTACCACAGCAGGAAGGGCGCCAGGAGAATGTCAAGGTCAATGACTCTCCCCCAACCCTCCCTTTTCTTTCCGGCTACCTTTTTCTTTCTTTTTCGGATGTATGCAGGAGACACATGGCTTTATTAAAGATTCCACCCAAAGTCTGGCAAACGTTTTAAAACATATTTGTAAACATTATGCTCCCTTTCTCGGCTGGCAGCACTTTAAACAAAAGACAATACGAAAACAACCATCTGGAACCAACATTAGTTCATGATCCTTACATATCTGACTGCAAGATGTATGGTCCCACTCGCTACAGCACGTGATAGTTCTAGGCACAGCAGATAAACTCCATCGCTGGAAGTCTATGCTGTCGGATGAGTTAGGGAACGCTGTGGGTAAATACATCTATTCTTTTTCAAGATGTGTTTTTATTATTTTGATTGTGTGTGTGTGTGTGTGTGTGTGTGTGTGTGTGTGTGTGTAAATGTGTATCCATGTGTGCCTGTGGAGGGCAGGAAAGAGTACTAGATACCCCGGAGTTGGAGTTGGAGGAGCTTGTGAACAACCTCCTATGAGCACCGGGAACCAAACCTGCATCCTTTGCAAAGCAGCAAGAGCGTGTAACTGG